ATAATAATAATAATAGTTATAGAGAGGCTGCACTGTAGTAAGGGACAAAGGCGACTCAGAAATGTGAAAATGGCAACAGTCTTTGCATTAACTCTTTAAGCCCTGAGTTTTGTTCACCATTTCCCGAAAAAAAATTTCGACAGTCACCTAAACCTTGTGCACTGTGTCTCATTATAACCCTAAAAGCTTGCCTCCAACTTTTAAATAGCGTAAACAAAAGATTATAGTCATTACTAAAAAACTTGGTCCGTGAATAGTTCCGAAAAACAAGCAAAATCTAGCAGTAAATAAAACGAAACAGTTGTGACTAGTGCTGGACGCTCCCAGCGTCTGATGGGGTTCAAGGAGTTAAAACTATTGCCGTAATCCTCAAACCTCTGTAAGCACTTTCTGCAACGCTCAGAGCCATGTCATCCTTCCCCTGATAGAGGTAGGCATCAGTCAACACCTCTGCTGTCTGGGAAAAGGAGAGAGGAGAAAGGCCATTACAAGAAAATCTTAAGTTTTAGATTTAGTTTTTAGATTTCATAAGAGTTTTACAGCACTTGCAACACAATAAGGTCATTTAAATGCCGAAGATGGGAGGTGTTACAGGAGAGTAACAGAAATTTTAGTTTTAGTTTTAGCAAGGACTTGCAACACAATAGGCCTAAGGATATTTAAGTGCCGAAGATTGGAGGTGCTGCAAGAGAGTAACAATTAACACAAAAAAGGTCAAAAGATAGGGACAAAAGATGTTTGATCAGAAAAAAGGAGCAAACCACACAAGAGCACCATGCCAATCGCCCATGGAAAATCTTAGAGCACCACATTATAGTATGTATTCATAGAAAGTTATTTTTTTTATAGTAGAGGGTTTTACAGCGCTCGCAACTGCATAAGGTCATATGAGCGCCAAGGGGTGGGTGTCAAAAGAGAAGTCTTTACAGGGAATCAGACTTAGACTACTCACCTCTCTAGCTTCAACAGCACAAGGTCTGCTTCGACTATCAAGGCACCCCAAAATAGCAGGTCACAAGAGAGTGACAAACATACAAAAGAAGTAGAGGAAAATGACAATACATGTAGTAAGGATCAGGAAAGAAAAAGCAGCAGTTCCCTGTTGTAGATCAGGCACAGTTATGAGCGTGACATGAGTCAGCCCATTTACAATTCTACTGTGCTTGAACGAGAAATGTCCCCCTTTGGGAATGACCTAAGACACTACAGTCAGTGGCACTGCCCCGGGGGGTGATTCATAGAAAGTACAATGCATACAAAACAAACAAATAAAATCAAAGCATACATAAATATGCATAGCACACATAAGTCTGCCTTGAAATACAAATAAACTGAAGGAAAATTGCCAAATTGTACAGTGTATAGGCTTTTTTTTTTAAAGTACCTTTCAACACTGTAAGGTTATTTAAGAGGCAGTACTTGCTCTAATGGCCACCTGTCCAAGACCGTCACTCGTACCGAAGACCACCTCCCACTTCTTCTTCTTCTTTTCGTAAGAGTCTTTCGGCGCTCGCAACGGCATTGGGTCATATGAGCGCGCAGGACACATTAAACTTTTTCAGTTGGTAGGAAATTTTCGAATTTTGCTCGGGTGGCGTCAGAAGCCTATTCTTATCCATTTTAGACCACCAAGGGTTCTTTAACGTGTGCAACTTGCACACGAGCCCTCTGAGATTTTTCGCCCTTGTCAGAGAAGGCTAGGTGTAGATCTTTCCAACCAGAAGATCAGGGGTGCGGCTGAAAGACAGCAGTAAGAAGGAGCAAAGGAGTAGCAGTAAAAAGGCTGCAGAAAGAGTCAGGTGCCCAGAGGAAGGGTGAAAGAGGTGAGGGGGTGGGGGCAGAAAGAGGAGACGAAAGCAGACGATAGAACATTGCTAGAAAGCAGGAAAATAGGTGAAAGGAGACAATTTTAGGGAAGAAAATGTTTTCGGTCGCCACCCCGATTCGAACCCGGGACCTTTGAATGAGAGGCCAATACCTTAACCTCTAGGCCACGAGAGCCCCCACTTTCCACTTCTCCCTTTGCTTTCTTTTTTGATGTATAGAATGACAACGTCCAAGATGTCCACCAGTCTGAGACAACCCTTTTTCTCCAATGGGTGGCTGTCTTGAACAGTTTCAATTGTGCTCATCATACATTCCATTAGTGTAACGACGAGGTGAAATCAGGCGCTCATCAATTTTTGGGCATGTTTAGCTGTTGGTTTTATCTGAAAGGCCACTCGCCTTGCTGCAGACAGACGCCTGTGTCTCCCCGCGACACCCACCAGTACAAGCGGAAGAAAAAAGTAAAGTAAGTATCATCTGAAAGCTTATTCATTCGCCTTGCTTTCAATGAAAAAAATACCCATGTATCTTGAACAGAAGTCAAGGAGATATTTACCACTGAAGGAGGTGGAGTTGCCTGGCTATAGTGGTAAAATTAATGAGAAAATGGCTGCAGAAGTTCTGTGACTTCAATCGCGTGAGAGCCGTTGAAAACTGCAAAATTGCGTATATTTTGTGCCTATAACACTTTGCCGCCTCATCTTGCCGATTGGCGATGTTCACCTAGTTTCTTTGGATTTTCCCCAAAATGCCTTTACCTTTGATAGCAAGGGTTTTTAGCCTTGTGATGGCAAAGTGTTAATTGACGTTTTTCAGTCAAAATTACTCGGAAATGTGTTTTTATATGGATATAAAAGGTGCTGAGCTAAAAAACAAAAAATCAATAAAAATTGAAAAACTGGCTTAAAAATACCAGTTTCTTCGAGGTCATTATTTTGGCGAGCGTCTGATTTCACCACGATGCCTCACATATATTTCTATGTCATCGATGACCTTTGACCCATGAGTAGGCTACTTAGTTTTGTTTTATGTTTTAGTAAGAGTTTTACAGCCCTTGCAACACAATTAGGTCATACAAGGGCCAAAGATTAAAGGAGATACAAGAGAGTTGTTGTTGTTGTTGTTGTTGTTGTTATCGATCCAGCAACATCTGGGCTCTCACCCTTCTGTCCAATGATACAAGAGAGTAACAGACACACAAAAAAAGAAAGATAAATAAGGCGATCGTTGCTTGACAGGAAAAAAGGAGAAATTAACCGCATGAGAGCAGCCGCCAACCACCCACATACCCGGAGTACGTCGGGACTGCACGCCCGGTGCTCCTGCCTCAACTGTTGGTACTGGTTCTCTACCGTGTCCAGCTGAATCATCAGATTGACCGACAGCCGGTTCATCCTCAGCTGCTCGGAAATCTCCTCAAGCAGGAGGTCAAAGGCCGGGGGCTCGTCTTTCTGGAAGCGAGAAAAAAATGCGTTAACAAACGGTGGAATCAGGTGGTTGTCAGTTTTTTGTTTTTTTAGTTTAAGTAAGGTTTTACGGTGCTCGCAACTGCAAAAGGTCATATGAGCGCCAAGGGGTGGATGTCAACAGAGAAGTCCTTACAGGGAATCGGGCTTACTCTGCTCACCTCTCTAGCCTCAACAGCACAAAGTCTGATTCGACTATCAAGGCACCCTGGAAATAGCGGTTCACAAGAGAGTGACAAATATATAAAAGCAGCAGAGAAAAAATGACGGTAGTTGAGATAAGGAAAGAAAAAGCAGCAGTTCCCTGTTGCAGTTCTGGCACAGTTATGAGCATTACATTGATGAATCAGCCCATTTACAATTTACAATTCTACTGTGCATAAGAACATATTAATGTCCCCCATTTGTGAAATGGCCTAAAGACACTTTTTGAGCACATGGAGTTGTTGATATAATAATAATAATAATAATAATAATAATAATAATAATAATAATAATAATAATAATAATATAATAATAATAATAATAATAATAATATAATAATAATAATAATAATAATAATAATAATAATAGATTGCATTTATATAGCGCTCAATCCCATACTAGCATAAGCTCTGAGCGCTTAAATTTACACCAATCACATGATCATTCACACAAGAGAAAATATTTCACAGAAACAAGAAAAACCAGTTTAACAACATGAAGAAGAACTTTCACAACCATACATTAATTATATACAGGAAAGGACAGCAGTAAAAAAAAAATTAATAAATAAAAAATTAATCCAAAATCCACCAACCAAACACCCGCATACCCTTGAGGTTGGCGGTATCATCTGGAAACTTATTCATCTGCCTTGCTTTCGATGAAAAAATTACTCATCCCTCTTGAAAAGATTTCGAGATATTTGCAATTGAAAGAGATTGGGGGGTCACCTGGTTTCAGAGGTAAACTTATCAAGAAAATGGCAGCCAAAGTTTGGTAATGTACATAGCTTGACAGTCCTTGGGAAATGAAAATTTACATATTTTGTGCCTTTAATCAATGTTTTTCAGTAAAAATCCAAACTGAAATGTGTTTTTAAATAGACGTAAAAGGTGTTCGGCCAAAAAACAAAAATTCAATAAAAATGTCCAAACTGGCAGAAAAATGTCTGTTTCTTCGATTTGATTATTTTGAAGAGCACCTGATTCCATCACAATCCTCACAAATCATTGCCATCGTTCATCATTTGTCAAGCGTCAAAATAAGAACGTTTCAGGCGCAGCAAAAAGTGCTGTGTACTATTGTAGAAGTGTAAAGAGACACACATTGACACAACAACAGTCTTTTAAAGATAGGAAAAAGTAAGAAAGTCGTACAAGTTTATTAGTTGTCGTAAGAATGTTATGGCACTTGCAACACAATAAGGTTATACAAGTGCCAAAATTTAGAGGTGTTACAAGAGAGTGTGCTTCATATCGAGAGCTACTGTATCTCTCCAAAACCTAGGCACAAGCAAGGAACAGTTAGTTTTAGTAGAGGTTTTACGGCGCTCGCAGCAGCATAATAAGGTCATTTGAGCGCCAGAAGATAAGAGGCGTTACAAGAGAGTAACAAACATGAAAAAGAAGAAGGGGAGATAAGGACAATAGATGTTTGATAGGAAAGAAGGAGCAAACCACACCGGAGCACCCGCCAACCACCCACAAGCAGGGAACAGAAACGTTGGCTGACTGAGGAGACTGGGACTGACTGACTGACCGGCACTTCTGTCCAGCCCATGTAGTCCAAGATGTCCACTCCTTCCTTGTCCACCAGCTCAGCCATGGAGGGTCCTGTCTTCAGCAGATCTTTCTCGTTCTGAAAAGGGGAAGGGCATCGATTGAATCAAAAAAGTGAGTTTGTTATGATTAACACTTTGCAGTCACACAGCCAGCAGTACAAAATACCCCATCTGGTCACCCAGCCAGGAGAGTGACTGCAACGGACTTCTTGGGCCTGGACCGGAATGGATAACTTTTACCATCGCATTATTGCGCCAAGTGACCCAAAAAGTGTTAACAGAACGATCAGAAATTTGAGAAACATTACATACATTCAGCTCTTTATATTTTAACCCAGGGTTGAAACAGTAGAATTTTGTGGCAAACAGTTTTCTAGGGACTGGGTGAGGAGGGAAATGTTTGAGGAGAACAACAGGATCTTCACAGCATCCCCACCCGTAGAAAATATCTATTAACACTTACAGTATCAAAGGTTCATTTAGTGAAAAACTCTCAAGTACTGCACCAGTTTAGAAAGCTGAAGCCAAGGTAGAATTTTTTTTAATTAAAAAAACCTTGGGGGCCCAAGAAACACGCTTTAAAAATTCATAGAGGTTCATCAACCATTCAGCTATCATGTAGAGTGACTTCCTGTGGTATTTACTACAGCGTAACTGCCAAAAGCGAAATGCTCGCAGCTACAGGGATTTGAAAACAACAACAACACTTCAGTGCAGTGCGTCTGTTCATTGTTTGATTATGTTTAGTGTCCCTGGTCGCGTTGGCAACTAAGGTCGCCAGTGGAAGTGAGCCCATACTATGGCTGGAGACTAAAGTCACCTACGGTACTGCAAGCGTTGACGCTGTACCTAACAGAAACATCAAAAGTTCATCTCACAACAGGAAACAAAGTTCTGGTATTTTCTGTATACAGACATTTAACAGGGTCCTAGCCTGTTCTCTTGCTTTGTTGTAGTGAGAGTTTTACAGCATTCACAACACAATTAGGTCATATAAGTGCTGAAGCTTAGGGGCGTTACAAGAGAGTAACAAACGCAAAAAAGAAGGAGGGAAGATAAGGACGATAGACATTTGAAAAGAAAGAAAGATTAAATCACACCAGAGCTCCCTCCAACCACCCATGCCTGTTCCCTGCACAGATATGTAGCCATGATTTATGATGTCTACAAACTTCACTCAGGTTGTTCAGAGAGTGTCCGGGATGCTCAGCCCACTTGAAGCTGTTTAAAGAGTTTTTGAGGCTCTCAGCTCACTTGGCTCTTCCTGTTTGAAACAGACGTAAAATTCCCAAGCTCCACCTCCTAAATATCCTTACAGTGATGCAAGGCACATTAAAATTTAACCCATACAATATCCTGGTAGTTTTTTTAATCTTAAAAACCTATATCAAGTCCCTATGACAACATTCACAGTTCACATGAAACATCTTTAAAAAATTTAGTAGAGGTTTTACAGCGCTCGCGACTGCATAAGGTCATATGAGCGCCAAGGGGTGGATGTCAACAGAGAAGTCTTTACAGGGAAATATCTGGGTAATTCCAGAAATCCAGAATTCCAGATTGGTCTGAAAATGAAATTAATTATGATTACATTTTTGCAAACTCATAAAGGAAGAGAGTCACCGGACTTACCTCCTCTCTCTTTTCGACCGCGATGAAACTTGTGAACTGAGTGACGATGGAGTACTCTTTGCTCAGATCAATCACGGTGGACTTGAGGTTCATCTTGGCCACCTGAGGAGACAAACAAATGAGTCATGACACAGTGGAATCAGGCGCTCGTCAATTGTGTCACGACGCGGTGGAATCAGGCGTTCGTCCGCACTCATATGACCTTATGCAGTTGCAAGCGCCATAAAACCCCTACTAAAGGCGCTCGTCAATTTTGGGGCATGTGGGGTTATAAGTTATTGGTATCATCTTGAAGCCTGCTCATTTGCCTTGCTTTTGATGAAAAATATATCCATCTATGTTGAATAGAAGTTGAAATATTTGTGATTGAAGGAGGTCAGGGTCGTCTGGTTTCAGGGGTAAAATTAGTGAGAAATGGCCGCAAAAGTTTGGTAATTTCCATAGCTTGAGAGTCCTTGGAAACTGAAAATTAAAAATTTTTTGTGCCTTTAATCAATATTTTTCAGTAAAATCCACTCAGAAATGTGTTTTCAAAAGTATAAATTAGGTACTGAGCCAAAAAAAAAGAAGATTAGAAATAATTGCCCAAGGCCAGAAATATGCCAGTTTCTTCGATTTCATTATTTTGACGAGCGTCTGATTTCCCCCGGATGCCTCACAAATTGTTTCACGACACTACTTGAAGGAGAGCACAGCCCAGCAGCTGTCACCTTTGGTGAAACCATCGTTAACCTTCCGTCAACAATCATTCAACCTTTCATGAACCCACGAACAAACAACAAAGAAACAACCCATAAATGTGTAAAAACTTTAGTAAAGCTGAAAGATTTTGAAACAAAACTCAGCTGTCCTCATTCTTCTCTGTCATATTTTTTAATGAAAACCGTACCTTTTTCGAAAGAAGATTTATGCCCACATTTCTACATAAAAATTCAGTTTTCCAATGGATTTTTTAGTAGTCGACCAAGTGCTAACTTACTAAAGAGTAATCCTATGTCCTAAAGAAGACTTCATTTAATAGCTTGAAAACTGACGAATTAGATAACATTTCCCACACAAAGTAAAATTTAAAAAATAATAGTTTCAGACTTTTACGACTAGAATCTTATTTCTGAAAATTTTTATCAGGTGTACGACAAGATATAAAAAAATGCAACCAATAAATTATTTGGGCTTATACAAACAACATAAGTAATAAATACATTTTAATACAAAACTACACGTAAAATGTTCAGAAATTGAAAAAGAATAAGTCACATACAGCTCCAGACATACCCAAATTTACAATCTTCCTCCCTCCACTACACTCACACACACATGTACTCCCTGTCCCC